GGGGGGTTGATTACTGGCGCATTGATCTAATACATTACCGTACAAATCTCTTTTGAGAATGATTGCTTGACCGGGGTCAGTGATGCGAGGGATCAGTGCATGGCCGTCTTCGGTGGATCTAAAGAGAAGTATGTTTTCGAGTGAGTGGTCTCTGAAGCCGACGTTTCGGGCGTGGAGGAACATGGTCCCCTCTAGCAATTGGCGGAAGAGCCACCTGGCCTGGTTCTCGGAGAGTGGGTTGGTCCGTTTCTTCATGACTTCGAAGAGGTCCTCAAACTCTGCAAAGGGCATGACGACATAGACAATACCCTTGGACTGACTTTCCCACAGCTCCTCATACATCAACACGTTCTTGTGACCCTTCATCAACTCCTGGAACTGGATCTCCGCCGTTATATTTTCTTGCAAGTTTTCGCGATGACGCAGCGCGATATCCCGCAACATAATCTTCATTGCCACGCGACTACCACACACCTGCGGGCTTTGACCGGCCTTCATCCGTAGCACCCCCGCAATGTAATAAACGTCGGCCAGAAACACACCTCCGTATATCGCACTTTGCAGCACCTTCACTAGCTTGTAAGCCATCTACCACAGAAACGTGTGCGTGGGCAGAAATGTCGGGGACGTGTGAGGGAGGGAGAGAAAAACATACTTGAGACTTGGGCGAAATGCACAAGGCACCAATCTGTGATTGTGGGTCACTTATTATCTGCAAGAGCGCGCGCATATTGACAAGAAACAGCGACCCTGGTGTAGTGCCCTGTGTTCCAGCCCGAGACACTCTCCTCTTTCTTGCTCCTTCCAGTCTCCACAACCTGCTTGTTCCGAATTAAGAATCAGATCGCGCTTTCAGGGAGTAACTTGAGACCACGGAGTTGCCCCAAGTCATGGAGCCGCTTCAGGCCAGGGAGTAGCCTCAGGCCAGAGAATAGCCTCAGGTCAGGGAGCAACCTTGGGGAGTAACCTTGGGGAGTGATCCGTTACTCTACTAGGACTTAAAACTTTTGCGTGCAGTCTGGCGAAAAGTACTACAGAGCGAGATTAGCGTGGAACGTGAGTAGTGTAGTGCAGCGGGAGAACTCCGCCGGAGAACTCCGCCGGAGAACTCCGCCGGAGAACTCCGTCGGAGAACTCCGTCGGAGAACACAATGTGGAGGAAAGCCATGGTGGAGGAAAGCCAGGTCCGTGGGGGTGATCAGAAATGTTCGCACTTTCTTTGGCGGAAGGTTGCCTAGTAATTCTTCGTGTGGTATGGGTAGTAGATGGGGTAGGAGCTGACGACCAGGCCGGCAGCCCATCTATAGCCAGCTGCTTGCGCATCACTCAATTAAAATCTTTTATTTGACATCCCATGTAACCGCCGAACCCTGAACCAAGCCCGCCCTAAACCTAGAATTGGTCACCGCCACTAGGTCCAAATCGGCCACCAGTACCTCCGCGACTACCATTTCTGTGCTGCAGGTGCGGAGTCACGTCGGACGAGCAGGACTACTTTGTCCCCTTGTCTTCTACTGCTACCGGCAACGCCTCCGCCGCTGCTCCTTTTCCGCCGGCTGAAGACGAAGCGGCCGTTGCGCAGTTCTTAAGTGAGTCGGGACTACCGCGGCATGTTTTGGCAATCATTTACGAACTGGTTGTCATCGAGGACGACAATTTTGGATATC